CATTTATACATATACATATATATATATATTTACTGAGGAGGGTATTCTAATTATCTAACCTGGTGTTAATAGTGTAAATTGTTATACAAATTATAAAAAAATTAACATATTCATTTTTATAGGGGGATATTTTAGTTATCTAGCGTGGTGTTACTGGTGATTGTTTTAAACAGGTGAGATTATGGATATTTGACCATTTCTTCTTTTCACTTGTCTGTATTTTCTCACTTATCTCCCATGAGCAGTGGTGCTGTTTAAAAAGAAAACAATAGGATGTCCCTGGTTGCTAAGGTAAGGATTCACCTTCCAATGCAGGAGACTTGGGTTATAGTCTTGGTCAGGCAACTAAGATGCTATTAATACATGCTGCAGAGCAACTAAGCCCTCTCGAGACAACTACTGAGCCACAACCAGAGAAAAGCACCTGCCGGTATGGAGACACAGTGCAGCCAACAAATAAAGGTCTTAAAAAAAAAAGCCAATAAAAGAAATTGTATTTTGACAGGAAGGATTGCTTGACTATGATTGCTGAAGTTCAGCCATGCTCAAGAATTCTGGAAGGAAGACGCACTTCCTATAGAACAGTGGTGGGATGGCGAGAGAGAAGCCTGCCTCGCCCTGGGCTGAGGGCTGGGGAAGCCACCACCACCTTGACGTTGGCCTGTACTCTCCCACGTAGATATCCTCCCCACCTGGCTCATGCACCATCCTGGAGTTACTCATCCCTAGCTTTCTGCTTATTTTGCCTCACTCCTCAGACTTCATCTAAAAGGAATTTCTGTTTAACCACAGTGCCCACATGAAGAATTCTACTAAAATTTCATTTTAACTAAATTCCAGCAGACAGATGACTTAAATAAGCTACAGTGGACTCAGAGAAAATGATGCCACAGTTGTTGCTCATGGGCCTGACCAGCAGATGGGCAAACTCCATTTTATACACACACACTCCCCTCCTACATCCACAAAGTCCAGGCATCAGCGGACAACATGTGCCCTTCGTTCTGGAATCCCCAGCGTGGACCGGTCGCCAGGGCTGGCTCCTGATGTGCCCCTGTTTCTACTCCGGTGGCTGAAGGGAAGCCCCTATGGTACCAGGGACACTTGTAGCCTTGGATCCAGAGTGACTTTGAGAGCTGTGGATGCACTGGTCCATCTCACAGGGAACTCTGCCATTTTCCCTGCATTTGGCTTGCCTGAATGCTGATTTTCCTTTCTGTTTATTTTTCCCCTCAGGCCCACCCAAGGAAACTTCCATCAAGAAATGTGCGTGGGCTTCAGCATTTACTTGGCTGGCTCTTTGGGAAGGCCTTGATGTGCTGTTAGTTTTCCTTTAATGTTAAGGTCCCCTGGGGTTCCCTCGACTCTTGTGGCCTGGTCACACTTGGCTTAAGACTGGACCCCGCTGTGTGTGACCAGAAGCGGTGCAGCAGGGTAGGGCTGGTGGGAAACGGGGGTGGGGGACTTTTCCACATCTTTAAAGATAATATAATAACATCATGCTTAAGACGAGAATGGAAATATCTTCAGTTCAGTTCGGTCGCTCTGTATGTAAGAGAAAGCAAGATTGTGAGACAGATGGGGAAAAGCTACCCCACCCACCAGTGGTGGAGGCTCTGCTGCCCCAACTCTGCCAGCTTAGCTCTTGACCACCCCTCTGCCTGTACAACAAAGCTCTCCTTTGGATTTCTTAAGAGTCCTGGGGCTTATTTCCCAGGATCCCTCTGCTCCCTGCATCTGCAGTCTTTCTTTCTTTCAATTTTTATTTTCAATTTATTTTTAATTGGAGGATTATTGCTTTATAATGTGTTCGTTCCTACCATACAGCAATGTGAATCAGCTATAAGTACACATATACCCTCACCCTCTTATGCCTCCCTCCCACTTCCCCCCATCCTAACCCTCTAGGTCATCACAGAGCACCAAGCCCCCTATGTTGTATAGCAGTGTCCCACTAGCTATCTATTTTACACATGGTAGTGTATATATATATACATAATATACTCTCAATGCTACTCTTTCAATTTGTCCCAGCCTCTCCTTCCCCCACTGTGTCCATAAGTCCATTCTCTATGTCTTCAGTCTTTCTTGCAGTGTGTCTCTGTTTAGCCCCATGACAACAACATAGGCTCACCTCAGCCCTCCAGTGGTTTCCCAACAGCATCTCCACACCATCTCCATCTCTCATGCCTGGCCTCCTGGACAGGTGCTCCAGCCTCTCTTCCCGATCCAGCACACTCTCTTGCTGACACTTAGGGTCTCCACTCCTTGCCCCTGCATCTCTTCACTCCATCCCCGGAACAGGCACTTTCTTCCTTTCTCAGCATCAGACTTACCCCTTTTCTGCCATGAGGCACCAGGTCCTCTTCCTTTAGTTCTCATTTAACTGTGAATCATTAGTCAGGCAAATCGCTTCTCTGCCAGTATCTGTTCAAAGGTGAAGATTTGCCTCACCTTTCCCATCCTCCTCCCCCACCCCTCCCAATTCGAGGTTTCCAGGGACTACTTGGCACCAACTTCTGCCTTTTTTTTTTTTTTGAAGCTTATTATTATTTTTCTTCTAAGGAGGAAGCATCTGGAAGAAAAGCTATGACCAAACTAGACAGCATATTAAAAAGCAGAGACATTACTTTGCTAACAAAGGTCCATCTAGTCAAAGCTATAGTTTTTCCAGTAGTCATATATGGATGTGAGAGTCGGACTATAAAGAGAGCTGAGCAGCAAAGAATTGATGCTTTTGAACTGTGGTGTTGGAGAAGACTCTTGAGAGTCCCTTGGACTGCAAGGAGATCAAACGAGTCAATCCTAAAGGAAATCAGTCCTGAATATTCATTGGAAGGACTGATGCTGATGCTGAAGCTCTAATACTTTGGCCACCTGATTTGAATAACTGACTCATTTGAAAAGATGCTGATACTGGGAAAGATTGAAGGCAGGAGGAGCAGGGGATGGTCATTAGAGGAAGAGATGGTTGGATGGCATCACCGACTCAATGAACATGAGTTTGAGCAAGCTCCGGGAGTTGGTTATGGATGGGGAAGAAGCCTGGTGTGCTGCAGTCCATGAGGTCTCAAAGAGTTGGACATGACTGAGTGACTTAACTGAACTGATTATTATTTTTAAAAGAACACTATTTTATTTATTTATTTGGTTGTGTCAAGCCTTAGTTGTGGCGTGAGGGATCTTTTGTTGCAGGGCACAGGCTTCTCTCTAGTTGCATTTCTTGGGCTCTAGAGTGAGTGCGCTTAGATGGCCTGTGGCCTGTGGGGTCTTAGCTCCCTGACCAGGGATCAAACCCATGACCCCTGCATTGGGAGGTATATTCTTTTATTTTTTTGGATCTTTAAATGTAAGTTTATTTTTTTTTCAACTATTTAATTTAGAATATGAACATGTTTCCGTATTCCATCATCATACATCTTCACATGAGTACTTTCAAATGGCTACTTTAAATTCACATGCATGGATGTAAAATACATTTGAAAACCAATCCCTAGCTGGCAGCTGTTTTAGTATTCTATTTCTCCCCTTGACACAATGCTATCATAAATATATATATTTCATTCTTTTTAATACCTATTAAGTAATCTCTCTTTCTCTTATCATTGCTGTTTCCTTCTCATCTTTAGTTTTATCTTAAATGTTACCTCCTTATAGAATTCTCATCTATTTTATTAAGTTTTCCCATTATCATCTAGCATAAGTACATTCTTTACCACTTTCATAGAATCATGTGCAGCTTGTATTGCAAATGTAGTTTGTTTTACTGTCTGTTACTTCCACTAGACTCTGTTACGTGGGGTTCCTGGCACAATGTCTGACAATATAAGTGTTTAGTTAATATTTGTATTGCTCAATGGTTGCATGTATAGATGAAGGAAAGAATGAATCCATGACTGTAGCCCAAGTTAAATTACTGAAAGGAACTTAATGGAGCAAGGTCTAAGCTACTTGTGAATCATTACTTAATTCCCACCGAAGCCTCCAATGGAGAGATTTCACAATAGCCCTTATAGTTGTTTGTATCTCTTTACAGTTGGCCAAACAATATGACCCTGTTTACACTCTGTACCTTGGATCCCAGACCACTGTGGTCTTACATGGATATGAGGCGGTGAAGGAAGCTCTAATTGACCAAGGTGATGAATTCCTTGACGGGAGGTATATTCTTAACCACTGAAGGAAGTCCCCAGGCTTCTGCTTTATACCTAGGACTTTGAATCATAACTAGTTTTCTCTCCTTGGACTGAGCAATGAGCTTGGTACAGACAAGGACTGGGTCTTTCATCTATGTTTCCAGCTCTGCTTATGACCTATGTCTTTAACATGCACTTTGGCAGGTATTGAATGAAGTTGGGCTGGTGACACTGGAGACAAGACTGAATAATGCCTACTTGTAGGCTAGGTTGTCTATTTTGTGCCCACCCACCAAAAGGAAATCCAGAAAAGTGCCTTCATGGATGGAAGAGAACTGGTCTGCAGTAAGTGGTGTATGGGTGTGGTAAGGAAGGGAGCACCGTCCCATATGTCTCTTCTCAAAGGGGAGAGGTTCCCATAGCCTTCCCCAAGGGCCTGTTTGATGAGACCTACCCTACCTTACCCTTGTCATTCATTCAGCACCGTTTATCAAGCATCAAATGCTTCCCTAGTGGCTCAGAAGGTAAAGAATCTGCCTGCAATGCAGGAGACCTGGGTTTGATCCCTGGGTTGGGAAGATCCCCTGGAGAAGGGAATGGCTACCCACTCCAGTATTCTTTCCTGGAGAATTCCATGGACAGAGGAGCCTGGTGGGCTGCAGTCCATGGTGTCGCAAAGAGTTAGATACAACTAAGCGATTAACACTTTTACTAACTACCTGCCAGGTCCTATCTCAAGGTTAAATGGGGAAACTGAGGCACCAGCCAAGCCGCTTGTCTGAGGCCTTCCAGCTAGGTAATGGAAGAGCTGGAGGACAATCATGACTCCCACTGCAGAGCCCTCATTTTTCGCCTTGGTGCCAGATGTTTGAGATGAAGAGCAGAAGCCTTGAGTGTTTCCTGGGTTTTGTTCAGCCTGGAATCTGCTGGGAATCTGACCTCCCTGCAACTGGAGCCTGCCAGTCTTTGGAGCAGCAGAGAGAAGGGACAATCTCTAGTGGAGTCACCTGTCCAGCTGGCAACGGGCCTCAGCTGACTCTTGCTGGTGGTGTATGGGCTGGGCATTTGTGGGGATCAGTGAGTCCACCTCCAGTTCTCAGGATAAACAAGCTGCACTGGTTGGCCAAGATGTTTGCAAGTGCCGTTTCCATTCAACAGCACAACCCAGATTTGGGTTTCTGAGACCTGCTAAGCAGCCACCCCCTTGGATCTTTATCCTTCCTCCTATGTCCTTCCTGCCACCTGTAGTCTAAATTTAGAGATAAGCACAGCAGAGCACCTTCCGGCCTGGGGCGCTCTGGCAGGTCCTTGAGCTGCTGATGAGCTGTACCGCACCATCTCTCAGCACCGAGGGGCTGGGGAGTGTGTGGGAGCCTCCTGATCATCATCCCGGGAGGGTCTCCTGAGCTAAGGGCTTTCTTGCATTGTTTTCCTTTGATTATACAAATGATATATAGCCTGGAAAATGCATAAAAATATAAAGAAAAAATAACAATTGCATTCCTTTTGTGAGGAGATTTCATTGTTAATATTTTGTCCAGGTTTGCTTCTATATATTTAAGTCATATTTTTATTCTGATAATAATAAAACTTATTGATAAAAAAAAAGATGATTATGAGCGAGGAAGAATCCTAGCCTCCAGAAATACCACTGCTAACATTTTGACATATTAGGTTGGCAAAAATTTCGTTCTGGTTTATGTACAGTGTTACAAAAAAACTGGAATGAACATTTTGATCAACCTGATAATTTTTTAAGATATTTAAAAATTTTTCTTTTTTTGGCTTACAGAGTTAAAATCATACATACAATCAATTTTGTCTCCCACCCTCCCCACTTATCACTTTGCAAAATAAGCAGCCTCCAGGTTTTTATTTCAAACTCTTTAAGATCATTTGTCAACACAGTATTTTGTTGCTTCAATAAACTATGATTTCCTTAACCATCTTGGCTTCCTTCCATCTCCCTCTTTTGAGGTTGCTTCTAATATTTTGCAATTATAAATTATACAACTTGATGATGAACATCTTTATGCCTGAATGTTTAATGACGTTTAGAATTACATCCTTAAGATTAGTGTCTTAGGGTTATAAGATAAAAGGCTATGAATATTCTTAAACATTGTGATCCTTCCTGCAAAAAGTTTTCCAAAAGACCTGGGTCATCTTTCGTGATCTCCTCCCAGTAGTGCAGTTAGCATTTTGACGTGCGTGAAACCCAAGTTCAAAGAAAGAGAAAAAGAAATTGAATTCTCTGGCAAATAGTAACCTAAAGGGAAAAGTCAGAAAGGGAGAGAGTGAAGCATTATCTTTGCAGTGTGTTAATTGTTCAGTCATGTCCAATTCTTTTCAACCCTTTGGACTGTAGCTCTCCAAGCTTCTCTGTCCATGGAATTCTCCAGGCAACAATATTGGAGAAGAAGATCCAGGGGATCTTCCTGACCCAAGGATCAAACCTGTGTCTCCCGTAATGCAGGCAGATTCTTTACTGTCTGACCCACCAGGAAAGCCCACAGAGAAAACAGTTTTCACAAAAAAAGTCATAGGAATGAGACTTTGGGGACTTTTTCCAGATCAGTTGGAAAGTCATCTGCTGTTCCTCCCATCACCATTAGGGATAATGCCCTTGTCCACTTCTCTTAGAAGAGTGAACCAGCAGTCAGCTCCCCTGCAGACAGATGGCTCTTCCTAGCACAGTCACCCTCCAAAAGGCAGAAACTTGCCAACAGAAAGAGATCTGAAAAATTCTTTGGTCCAGTCCTTCATTTTGTCAGATCAAAGTCTAGACAGATGATGTGATTTTCCCGAGAAGTGATTCATAGCTAGTTTGTTGGAAAATGTTGGGCTAATACCCATATTTCCGTACAGTTGATGATAAATAAAAGTCATTGTGTAATAGTTCAGCACAATCTTTGTATATGTGATTCCTTGTATATATTTCCCTCATTAAGTTTTGAGGATGTATGTAGTTGTCGACAGTTCTTAGAAGGTGCACTTAAAAAAATCTGAAAAAAGTTCAATTTTAAAGTCTCCTGACTGATTGGCATACATTATTAAGGTGAATGATTTCTTGTGTCTTTGAAAATTGTCTGGAAGCTCTTTAAATTAACCTGAGGTTAATTTAACATCCACCCATGTTCCAATCCATGTGTGTGCTTTCTGCTCTTGGTCATGACCTGTCATGGAAGGAATTGCAGCATGTAGGTATAAGTTGTTTCTTGTGGCCTTTCTCCTTTCATATACATTCTTGTTGTTTAGTCATAAGTCATGTCTGACTCTTTTGTGACCCCGTGGACTATAGCTGGCTAGGTTCTTCTGTCCATGGGACTTCTCAGTCAAGAATCCTGGAGTCGGTTCCAATTTCCTTCTCCAGGGGATCTTCCCCACCCAGGAATCAAACCACTATCCCCTGAATTGGCAGGCAGATTCTTTAGCACTGAGTCACCACGAAAGTCCTTCATATACACTGCTGCTGCTAAGTCACTTCAGTTGTGTCCGACTCTGTGCGACCCCATAGATGGCAGCCCGCCAGGCTCCCCCATCCCTGGGATTCTCCAGGCAAGAACACTGAAGTGGCTTGCCATTTCCTTCTCCAGTGCATGAAAGTGAAAAGTGAAAGTGAAGTCACTCAGTCGTGTCCAACCCTTAGCGACCCCATGGACTGCAGCCTACTAGGCTCCTCTGTCCATGGGATTTTCCAAGCAAGAGTACTGGAGCGGGCTTAATATACACTAGGACATCTGAAATGGGGTGAGCCTCAGATACGCCCTTGCTGTTAAAACCTTAATCATTATTCAAAGATGAATTAAAATCCCATCTCTTTTGGGTAGAAAAAAAAAAATCCTTTGACCCACCTAGGCTAACATGTTCACTTTCTTTTCTAAACTTGGTCTGTCTATACCAGTGGTTTGAACAATCCTATTTGGGTATGATCATCTCTCTTTTTTAACTTCAAAAAACCTTTGCATAACCTACATCACAATAATTGTTCTTTTAGTACCTGTTATAAAAATTCATGATGACCAAAGGATAGCATGGCAAATAGCTGTGTATTTTGTCAATCATAATATGTATTTGAAAAGTAAATTTATGCACTTTTTGAGATGTGTCTAACTCATCTTATAGATATGTGGATTTCTGAGGCTTCGTTCAACCCATAAGTTACAAGAGATTTGAGGTCCAAAGTTTGGGAATCACTGGTCTGTGGGTTTATTTGCAATGAATCACAGGTCAAGGGAACTGCTTGCATTGTCACACAGCTCTTCAGGTTGGACCGTATCCTTCATTTAGACTGAATCCTCCCTGAGGACAAGAACTTCCCCTAACATGCCTTTGTACATCCACCATGCTAAGGGACCAATTAATCAAGGATCATTAATTAAGCACTAACCATATCCAGGACACTGAACTTGATCCTGTGGGAGATACAAAGTGTAAGATCCAGTTCCTACCTGTGAGGTCTCACAGTTAGAAGAGACAGGACATATGTCTCTATAAATGGATTAATGAATGAAGGCTCTGAGAGCAAGGCTTGAGATATAAAGTAACAATTGGATTGCTAACCTCCACAGGCCTATAGGACGAATTATGAAATGAGTTGAACAGACACTAAAAGGAAAGAGCACAGAAAAGAAGGAAAGTGTGCCAGCGAGCAGGAAGGCTTTGTAGAGGAGAGCTCTGAGTGTGAACCTTCAGGTGATCAGGACTTGGCTGCTTCCCTCAGCCCTGGAAGGTGCTCAGAGAATAATGTAATGAATGTGCACAAAAAGCATTTTGGGTCATTTATACCTCTATAGATCCAAGTGAAATCCTTGTTCTTTTAAAGAACTCCAGTGGTGCAGTGACTCATCCAGGATCATACAACCAGTTAGTAACACAGTCGGGACTTGACATCTGGGAGCTGGACTTCAAAGTTAGTGTACTTTCCACTCTATCCTGTTACCCTTAGAATTCCCTCCCTTTTACCGAACTTTCCAGAACAACATATATAAGTTAAGTTTCCCTGAGGCTAACCATTCACACCTCCTCCTTTTTCTAATCTCAGTGCTAGACAGGCGTTTCTTCTCTTGCGATCCAAACATGCCCCAATTAAAAATTAGAAGCAACTTCTGGGCCCTGGCCAGTGCTTCAAAGGGACTGTGTATTGGCACCCACTATGCCAAAGCCATCTTGTAAAAGACAAACTATTAATTACAAAATCCAAACCATTGCTTTGTGGATTGTGGGGATCTCATGAGCATGGTGGGAGATGGGGGTGTTTCTGGAGGGCCCTCCCCACTGCCATTAGGTTTCACCCACAACAGAGAGATTTGCCTCCTTTAGGATACCACAAACCAATTAGTTTGGGACCCTTCCAAGGAAACTGTCACCATCTGCTGAATATTCAGGCAGCTTGGGTGATCTGAAAAGATAGTGGGTGGTCACTGGTATACACAGACAGGACTTACGGCCAATGATGCTCCAGGCTCAGGAACCTGGAAGGCAAATACCCTTAAGAAATTACCTCCAAATGCCCTGGGCATCTGTGGCCTGAAGTCAAGCCATTGGTTTAGCTTGTTCCATTGTGAAGTATTTAGCAAATTCTTTGTTAAGAGGTCTTGGCTTATCCTAACTGTACACTTTTCTTATTTCAGTGATAACTTTACTATCAAAGACTCCTGGGCCTTCATACTTCCTCTTTTCTGATCTACCCCAACAAAGCCTTGTTCTCAGAGCCTGAGTCCATTAATCCACTCACAAAATGTATCTACTTCGCTGGCTTAGTACAGTGAAGTTCACTACTTAAAGACCACTGGGAGATGTGACTTCCTTTGAGTCTACTGCTCACTGTGTGGCTTGGGCAAGGCATTTACTTCTCTGGTCCCTCTGCTCTTACCTCCTTACGTATAAAGTGAGGGAGTTATATAAAATGATGCTTTTTCACTGTATCTTTGTCATTCAAGGTAGGAGACAGAAACCATACTGTACTAGGAACAGGGAAGCTTTCATATAAAGATTTATTGGCTAATAATAGAGAACTAGCAACTCAGGGATAAAGTAAACTTCTAAGAATACTGGAACCACAGACAGAAGGACCCGCTTAGGGCCTGCCCCAAGGGCTGAGGCAGAGTACCCAAGGAAGGAACACATTTGGAGAATACCCACCCCCAAGGCTGAAATTAAGACCCTATAGCTGTATCCCG